ATGGCAAGCAGGACCGCGAAGATTGGGAACGCGATTCGGGTATTTAAAACCCTTCCAGGACCGAAAGCCAGCCTCATGGGGATGCAAGAAAGGCCGAACGCCCTACACTACCTTGCAAGCCCGGCTCTAGCCTGTGGGACTCTACTGCCCTCTAGAGGTTCACGGCGAGAATCGCACCCACCAGATTCTCATTAACAATGCCGTCGCTCGCCGCAAAGAAGGCCAGGACATGCGAGATGAAGTACTTCTCTTCCTGCTTCAGGCTCTCCCAGTGCTGCAGGTCTTTGGACAGGTCGACCTGCAGAAGCACAACCAGGGAAATGAATCACACGTGAAGGAAGACCAAATCACCCCAGGTGCTGGGGATTACAGTATTCCAGGAACATGGGCACCCTCACAATGCTGCTCCCATGTACTGCATGTTCATAGATAAAGATGGAACATCTTACTTATTGTAGGATGAAATTTTAAGGTGTTGGTAGTGTTCACATTTCAATCAGGCGTTTATTGTAGTGGCAGGACTAGATTATGAACTACATTACTTAACAAAAAAAGCAGTTCGTGTTTGTTTCTCTTGTAATCGGAGACAGGCGTTGTATCGGATTCAATATCTCCACCCCCCCTCTGCAAAACTTTCCAGGATAACTACAGATAACTGCAGTACCTGCGTGTTGGGTTGCGCCTTCGCTTCTCGCCACATGGCTGAAAAAGAGCCTGTTGTTTACAGCGGAACGGGGGGTTTAGGGAGGTCTCTCGGCGTGTTTACTGTGTTTTCGGGATCAGAGTAATGTCATTTTCTTTACCGCCGCACCGCGGACCCCCCCAGACAGCGCACACACACGCTGCATCTTTTGTCCTTACAGGTGAATCGTTTTATGTGTGGATGATAGGAACACGCACCGTAACGGAAGGGGGAAAGATTGTAATCCCCGCCTGCCAGTCAGTACAGCTCCCCGTCCTGCCAGGGACTCCTAGAAGGGAGCTCAACAGAGCTGGCAGCCCGGTGGGTGATCTATCCCACCCCGAGGAGCAGGGAGCCCCTCTCTCAATAACAAAGCCATCTTCTAAAGAAGCCGGTACCTCTTCCGCCGTCCAGAAGGAGGCCTCCGCCTTCTTGTACATCTGCCAGATGTCGTGGTACTGGATGGGGAAGATGACGAAGCGCCGCGGGTTCTCCCTGAGCAGGGGCTCGTCCTGCAGCCTCTCCA